GATCGTGATCATAAAGAAGGGCTACAATTTATTTTAGACTTGCGTGGTGAGACAAATGGCGATGTCAGCGAATAGCTTAACGGCTAGAACACAGCTTGAATTCAAATCTCTTGACCTTTCCTGCGTAGATTTATTACCTTTGCTGATTAATGATATGCAAACAGCCTGGTTTCAGTTTACCAATTACGTATAAATTGATCCGCCACGGACTAACTTTATGGCTATCTTGGATAAATTGGTTGTCAAAAAATGTTTTAAGTACGTGTCCTTATAAGAAAATCCAGGAAAGGTTAAAGGTGAACATGTGTAAAATCAACGTAAAGCGGTAAACCATATTTTAATTAAGGTAAAATTAGAATGGGTTGTTCCTCCTTAGCCAGACATCTTTGACCACCCTCTTCACGCGATGATATCCTCATCACATAATTTCAGACACTGTGTGTAGATCCGTGCCATATCACCCCACTGTATAACACCCGGAACATGGAAACATCTCCAGTTGGCAAGTGTAAAAGCTATGCATTGGTGTAGAAATTGGCATTGAGTGATACTATCCGTATGACCTCCAACAACAAGATATGTTTACTATTTGAATTTCCCAAATGAGAAGTGGTATCTATGGTTCTAGGAAAATAATTACATGTATTAAAATTACAATTTCAATGGCAATCTAAAACATAAAACGAAGTTATTAACTACACAAATAATTTCTTCTAATATTTAGACTCGGCTATACCATATATTGCGATACACGTGGCCTTTTATTCTGAGCGCAAACACGCTATAATCAACTGGGGGTTGGATGGTCGAATGGTTAGCGCGTGCGCGCTGCATCATAAGGTCTGCAATTGAGTCAACTGGCGTGGTTTTGATTCCCCGGTTGTACGTAACAAGGAGTAGTGTCGCCTCTCCAAACTCGTGATATTTCTCGTGGGTCCTCCGGTTTCCTCCCACTGCTAAAGACCACTATACGCAAGAAAATTATTGAAATAAAATTGAACCATATGTTAGACCTAGTTTGTGTCGAATGGACGTTACCCCCCCCCCCTCTCTCTCTCTCTCTCTCTCTCTCTCTCGCCAACTTTACTGTTAGTATTATTTATTTCAAAGTGATATCACTTCTGTAATGTTTTCAAAATTTCGATTCCTCTCATATTTTTTAAACCTGCTCTGGGACCAGATAATGTGTTCGAGTCGTTAAATCTAAATAAATGCCAAATGTTCGGACACAATTCAATAATTTTTCAAAGATACAAATATATTACCCATTATTATTATTGAAAAATCACGTGGAAATACAATAAAGTGGGCTTGCTTGTCATAACTTTATGTTTCATTAAGAAATATGACTTGCAATGCTTTTCTTGGGAAGGGTCTTTTCAGTCAATGATTTTACCTTCCATATGTCATCTTTTATTAAACTTTCGCAAAATTAACTGAACGAACCTTTTAGTTTTTAATCATTTGGATAATGTATGTGCTATTCAGAACACCTGTGTTCTAAACTGCACACACGAATCACAGAACACTGTGTTTGAAGGAGAACACTCAATGTTCCACAAAAGCCGCCCTGGCGTTCTATCGGGTTCATTTTAAACATCAGTCCTTCTCATTGACGTCATTTGTGACCTTGAACGCCATTTTTAATTGCTCTTTCCAGAGTGTGCTGTCACCGACGTAGAAAGCCACAAAATTCAATGATAAGTATGTCAATGAATGAGTGAAATTGTTTACAAATTGAATGAAATCACATAATTGCAATGTTCGAATCACTCAACTCTAGGCTAAACCGCTAGCCTCATGCAGTGGTCCTTGTTCATTTGGGTACGAGGTCATTTTTACTTCCCCTCTTCATCAGCCAAGTTCGGAGCAGAACAGTTGGACGTTACACCCCATTTCATTTCATTTTTACTTTAGTTTCAAACAGACTGACGGCCGCGTACTTGTAAATACCTCCTGCCTGTAATATTGATAATCGTGTGTCAATTTGGGATTTTTTAAAGCCGGCTTGGTGTGAATACCCTTTTGAGAACACAGGACACTCCTAAGAACACATAATGTTCTCCTAAGAACATCGATGTTCTTCTCTTCAGAGCACATCCTGTTCTTCTCTAAGAAGCCATGGTGTTCTTCTGTGAAAAAAATGTTCTAATTACGCTAAATATTTTCTAACCCCGACCGATAGATAATTAATAGACACGGAGAATTCCAACTTTTTATGCAGCTGTTGCGTTCAGGAGACATTAAATAAGATATCATCAATATTTGTATGCATTTTGTAGAATAGGATAATTTTCCTTCCTCAACCAAAAAGTGGGTAAATTGTCGGGAACAGTTACACAGAATTCACAAAGATCAAACTTTAGAAAATGAAAACGATGGTATGAGGTTTTCAATTGATATGGTCTCCAAAATATGACCCATTGGGAATGATGCGTATAATTAAGTATATTGAATCACTACATAAAAAGGTAAGTGATTAGCATTGAATCAATTATTCATTGCATATGATTTGGATGAAATTTGCATTCTTGGAATTAGAGCTGAATATCACTGATCGTATCAATCATTTTCAAGCCTTTTTTTTTTAATTATCAGAATCTATGCCAAATGAAACCGTAAAGAAGACGTTTCCTTCAAATTATTTATATTTCAGTTATTATATCTCACTAATACGTTTCCAAATATGTATTCAGATTTTACATGTCAAAATTTAAACAAATGTGGGGGTATATTGCCGACACCCGTGGCTTGGGGGCCTTACATTTCGGGTATAGGCTACCGTTTAAAGTTGTTGTCCGCATTAATTTGATGAAAATTCGTATACAATCTTAAGTTCGATTCTGTTCCGATTTCAACTTTTTTATTCCAAAAGTAATAGCCTTGGTATCCAATTCTATGTACAGGTTTCAAGCCAGTGAAAACAGTTGGTACACAAATTAAGGGCAGCGATAAGGCCTGGTGGACTTTACTCAATCCATATTTTCGATCCTAAGTTGTTGCCCTTGTCTTATTGCAGTATACGGTTCATTATATTACATATACTAGATTTTATTGAAATCTAAAGGTCGGTGAACAGTTTATTGGCTACATGAAATATCTGTGTATCTTTGCAGGATATACGAGATAATCAAATAGATAAAATTTTAACAACCAAGGAAAAGAAACCCAAACATATGTCAAAACATCAGATGAGGATATACATGGAATACTTAGAGTGTATTTTTCATAACCAAATAAAATATATATTTCAGTTCTTTAGATAAAAAAATCGACCCTATCATTTGTCAAATTTATGTCGAGTTCCAGCTTTCGTCTCTTCACTTAATTGTGAAATTATTCTTTAAATTTTAAAAATTTGACCCGATTTTATTGAAGAATTCTATGGTTCTATTGGCTATTATTTCCCTTATTGTTCCAGGTAATGGTAATAACGGCTAGGATTATTGTTTAAACGACCTAAACCTCTAACATAATATTTTTAATAACATTCGCTATTAAAAACATGAATTAATATTCAATATTGGTCCATTTCAATCAATATTGATGTTGTTATCTTGCCATGAAAATATGTGATCCTAATATTCAATATTTAAGACACAATAAACATTTTATAATCAGTACATGAGTCGTGTATTATATGGTTTCGGGAGCTATTTGTAATGAACAAAGAAAACATATCCTACAAGACAATACAGAAGTAATTAGTAATGGCGGATTCACAAAAGACAAAATAATAATGTAGAATGGACTAACCAGGCGTAAACGGCCAAATATAATTAATTACATGGCAATATTTTTTCAAAATTGAATGTAAATCTCTTTATCTGCATTCATATGCATATTATTAATATGAGCCTTTGGACACATTTTTGTCTCCGTCTTCATTAGCCCAGTTCGGAGCCAAACAGTAGGACGTTAAACCCCATTTCATTTCATTTCATTTCCATTTTCGTCTATTTTAAGGTTCCAAACAACAGTGCAGTTCGACCTTTAAAACATTATTCGCAGGGGAACAAAAACGACTGTCTTGTGTTACTTCATCATGCCATCGTTACTTTTGTTTTAAATTTGTTCCCAACAAGCAATGTTGAATGGAATGGGTGGCATTTAACGTCTCGTCGACACTTCGATCATTCTGAGACTAAAATTCTTGAATTTGTATTTTTATGATTCCGTGTGCGATAAAGAAAATTTGGCCCTGACAACGGCATTCTTTGTTACTCTTCAATGAATTCGAATCGTCAAGGGTTATGTACACTTTTAAAGCGATAAAAGAGAGGATGGCGATTTGCAAATTCCAATCCGGGTCGTTCAGGTCACGAGTTGCTATATCCACTCGGGATATATTGAGCCCCTGCAGTACCAAATAACAGTTTTAATTAAAAAACTGTCTTGATCCTAGTGAAAGAATGCTAATCTACAGAAGTGGTGCCAAATAAGAATTAAACGCTATCGAAAGTATCTTGACCATTTTTATTTATTTTTTTTTTTTTCAACTTTATTTTTCAAACAAAACCCCGCTGACAAATCCGATTAAACCACATTTGGCAATTAAGATCTATTTGGTGTTTAAATTATCCCCAACAATCGTTAAATCGATCTTTTGCCGCTAAGAGAGATTTACTGGAATGCGTGAATCATCTGAAATATATTGTGGTTTAAACTGTAATGAGCTTGCACTTTACTGTTACTTTTGACCCAAGTTTAGGTTTGTTGTGTGAGATTACATGTACTGAAAGCTTATCTGTTACTTGTTAAACATGAAGTTCTACAAAAAATATTGTCACAACATTTCAAGAAGGTTAAAAAAAAATCGCGATTCGCGGCCAACACATCAAATAAACGAAATCGTGTGAGGAAATATGCGACCAATTTAATTAACTAGTGAATATCAAAAGCCAGAAGACAAAGCGGAAAGAAAGGAGGGTAAATACACATAAGACAACATAAGTTTGTTTTTGGCGAAGAAAATACACAAGTCTTGATTTGTCGACATGTGGCCAAGAAGAACCACCCCTCATTACAGAGGCAATAAAAGGCAAATTGAGAAAAGAGTTGGGCTATATATTTAAACGTTCTCCCCTTGGTCGACTGTCTTCTTCTTGCGTTACTGGAGATCTTATAGCAGACGACAACCTTCTGTCATCATGGTGGCTTCTAAAATGTCCGGTCTTTCAGGTAAGTTTGTGTCGAACAGTTTTCCTGCAGTCCAAAACAACTGACAATTATTTCTCTAAATATGTATTTATATACACGTATTCACTATCTTTAATTCACTTAGAATATAATTTAGGATTTTGAAGAATTCTTTGTTACAGTTTGGTACAGGGGGGGTTAACAACATTGCATGCAAAGATATATGATTTTAGTTTATAGAACTACCGTTTTCTTTCTTAAAATTTGTCTTTTACTCTTTTACATGTATACTGGACGACTTATTTCTATTAAACAAATTTTAATTATTTATTTAATTCATGATTAAAGAAAATGTTTTAAGTTGAAATGAATTGCTTCTGTTTCTAAAGACTAAGAATCTGCAAGATAGGTTTTTCATTACTATTATCTGTCACTTATGTTTTAAATTTTTTAATTTGTAATAATTTTCTTTTATTTTCTTTCTGAATTCTGCATCTATTCTATTCTATTCTATTCTATTCTATTCTATTTATAATAACGCTTAAAGTCGAATGAATCATATTCCAGATTGATCAGTTTAATGTCTATTTTTTTTAAAATTTTATAAATCAAATTCTAATTTTGAAACACTATTAAGCGCCATTTCCGTTATCGACAATTACTTTAAATTCTTGAGCTCGTTAATTTGTTTAATTCTTTTACATTTTTCTTTCAAAATGCTTTTTATTGTTATTTTCGGCGAGTGTTTATATGTACTTAAACCATACATAAATAAACGTCTTTGTTCAAAGTCCAGATTCAAATCAAAAATATTTGAATTACACGCCCATTGTGTAATCGTGACATTGCACGTCCATTTTGTAATCGTGAATAATTTGAATAAATTGAAGCTTTAAACGGTGATAAAATTATATCTATACGCTTAAATCACATTGAAAAGTTAATAAGTGTATATGCCTTGTTGGGGTGGGTCGTTAGGGCTGAAATTTATCTGTTTCCAATCCCGGCATTTGCCTAGAATAACCGTCGTGGTTTCCCAAACCTGGCGCCAACATTTCAGGGGTGGCGTCCATGGGGCTCACATGGAAGGCGTATCTAACTTGTAAATTAGTAATGCTATCCCGTGACAGCCGTGGAGCCCGTGAATCTGACAATGAAAGCTGGTGTGTGTACTCATATCCTTAAAATATCCCACGGCAGTTGGAAATCGATGAAGAGTTAGCGGAAACACCGTTGCCCGGAAAATATTCTCACACTCGCACTGTACATGTAACCATATATATAAATTTAAAAATACCAGATTTGTTTTAAAATAATCCAAGTGTTGTCATAACATCAAGACTAAAACTGTACACCTTTTGGCTACGTGGAGTTAATTTTGTCGCTGATAATGTTCATTTTTTATACTTTCACCATTTATTCCTACAGTAGGGAGAATTAATTATTCTCGCAGAGCGTGGATTGTCTAGTGATAATTACAGATCAGGATAAAATCGTTTTATTAAATACGCAAAACGGAAGAATAAAATGCATCTTCACGTATATTGTGGCATCAAGCATTATAACATCTTCCCGGCATCAAGGCATAACAGTTCTACATTTGGAGACGTGACATATTTAGGCGAAATATTGATACTAAAACATATTTTATTTTTTAAAAAACCTTTATAATGGGATAAGAACAATTTATAACAAATTATGAAACTTCTGATAAATAGTTTACGATCGAGTTATTGATAATTTACATGTTCAACCACTCATTGAATCAAATGTTATATAGGGTATTCCACAGATGAACTTTATAATGGAATCATAATCATGCATTATAAAAATATGCAATTTCGGAGTTCTGCTGCGCATTGAAAAAAAGCATCATAGGTCATTTCTAAATTCAACCGCGCACTGGAACCAGCATTATATTATGGAATCATAATCATGCATTATAAGCAATCTCCGGGTTCGGCTGAGCATTGAAACAAACATCCCAGGTCATTTCTAGATTCAGCTGCGCTCTGCAACCAGCATTATATTACATGCAATCTTGAAGTTTATCACCGAATTCCCATGTTCAACCGCACACGAACCAAACAGACCATATAACACTGAGTATTTTCGGTTTCCAAATCAATCTTTAAAAATTTGGAGAGTTTCTGGTCTTTTATGTCTATTTTATCGAAAACTGTTAAAATATATGTTGCATGGAAACTTATTTATATTTTGGAGGGATTAGGAAATTAGGTGGAAATAACAATCTGGTAAGTGTTGTTTCTTCATATGGTAAGTATTAATGTGTAAGCTAGGTATATCCCCTATTAATAAACCAAATGTATTAAGAATAGAACTGCTAGAGCATCCGCACCAGGTTTAGCGTCATGTTGTGGAGCAGTCACATTTAGGATTAATAAAAGGAGATGCATGGGAGAGAAAAGGTCCCGAACCATGCAGTGTTGATAGCATGAATTTGAAAGAATTTCTAGAATTCTCAGAAGCTTTATGGGATTTGGAAATGTATCCTAACCTGTGATTGGTAATCCAAAAACTAGCTTTATCCGAAGAGGACGAACGAAATATAAATGCATTGCTTGAGTGAATGGTTGTACGTGTACTTTGTTTTTTCAGATTGTTTTTATGGTTATTTTTATATTTATTTCTCGCTTCTATTATACCCTTTGTTTTGTTTGGTTATTAGTTAATTCTGTCTTGATGGGTTTTTTATATTTTTAGTTAGTTGGTTTTTTGTCAGTGGTGTATTTTTTTTTTTTTTTTTTTTTGTTATCCCGATCGGACTCTTTTTCATTCTATACCTTTCCATCAGGTTAATTTCCGATCGCAAAAGATCGTTCCGTGTTCTAATGAAACTGGGAACCTTTTCAGACCAACGCCCACGACATCATTATTAGTGTCATTATCTCAGTTATGATAAAATCTCGGGTAATCACAAGATTATTCATTGTGTTTAGATCTAAAACGGACTCGTTCGGGGAATTGACCAAAGAAATTAAACATGCAGTTTTTCCAAATTACACTTACTAATGCACACAAATAATGTTTTACTTTCAGTTCTGGTAGTTCTACAGGTTTTCCTCAGTGTTGGTAAGTATTGTGCAAGCATTTGTTTTAACTATTATTCTTAAATTATTCTATCAAAAAATCAAGATCGAAAGTTAGCTCGAAACAGAAATCCATAACTCTGATTTAAAGTCCGGCAAGGTCCACATTTGGTGTAGACCATGGTACCATTTCTCCGACTGAGATCTCGGTATTTAATAAATTTCGTTTGTTTGTCGGGTTTTTTTCATTATTTATACAACAATACATTCTATTTAAACAATTTAAACAATGAGGACACGATTCTCCTTTGGAAATAAGACCAACACGATACTTAAACCGGAACTAAATATAGATCTATGTTTAATATACAAAGGATACAATTCTATGGAATACTTATTGAATGACGTTTCGACTATTAGGGTTCTCTTGTTTTTATCATTTAGTCGAAACTTAGCTTAGAAATAAATATTTATTGTATTTCATAGAAATGTGCTTTATATATCTCCATTTCAATTACTGAATGCCATTTTATCTGTTTTAATACTGTAAATATTCTGTCCGGAAGCCGATTTGTTATATAGTTTAGTCTTAGTATATTGCTTGTGGTATTTCAGGTAGTGCTTACGATTTCGGTTGTCCAACACTGTTCGATTATTATCCTCACACTAACGATTGTTCACGATTCTACCGATGTGTATGGGGATCTGCCCATGAGTTTTCCTGCCCTGCTGGAACCCACTGGAGCCAGAGACTTCTAATCTGTGATCATATCTACAATTCACCTTGTATACAGGTCAGCAACGTCGGCTCTCCATACCAATCTTACGACTTTTACAATTACGACAACGCTGCCGCTGCCAGTCTTAGCCAGGAATTCGTCGAAGATAGAACTACCATAGAAAACACCAACGAATTTGTTGCCGCCAACAACGTCAACGGATATCCCGTCGTTCAACACGACGCCGGAGATTACGTTAGCAATCAAGGATACGGATACGCCGCCGGGTACGAATATCCAAGAGCTCACTGGCCTGCATTGGGTTATGCCCGTGATGGTGTTTCTAGTGACGGATGGGCTGCCCAAGCAGGATATGAAAGCTATTCCCCCTGGTTCCAACGATTATTGGGAAACAATGCCCATGCCAAGAAGAAATAAACTTGCCCTAACTTGACTCATTAGCTCTGTTTCCTCCCTTTTTTCCATTTCCCCTTTTTTGATAAGTAAGAAGAACATGATAGAAGTCACAGAGAGGACCATGACATAGTTTAATTCGTTTATAGAGTAAGGTTAAGGAATCGTTTAATCGGGACGCTTAGTTCTTTACACCAAGAAACAAGTGCGCGTTTCTCACAGAACGGCCATTTTGAAAAACAATTTTCCTCACTCTCATTACATCAAAATAAAATAAACTGAAGTTCTTTGAAAATAGATCACTTGATTTAACCGCTTTTCTTAAATGTTGATGTGTGTTTCTTTTTAAATGTTTGTAGATAAATTTCATAATATAACATACGCATGTATGTGTTGAACAATTGAAGTGGCCACTGATACTGATATAGTGCCTTCAAAAGTTTATTGTTTGAAACGGTATTGTTATGTTTATCATCATCCCTCATCCAGGGATGTTATTTGTCAAGCATATTATTATTATTATTTATAATCTGTACTATAATTGTAAATTCTATTATTTCTTTTTTTCTGTATTATATGAATTTTTTGGACATAAAAGGTTGGGTATCTTTATTTCTTCACATTTGTCTTGTGTTATATTTTGCGGAAATTTGGTCAGCAGCGGATCTGTGTAATTACTTTTCACCAGGAACTCTCTCATTAGTACAAACTGACAAAATTCACTGGTGTGGCGTTAACGGTTTTTCAGTACTGCAAGGGCAGTGACGTTTTTGACGTTATACTGCCACCAGGGTAATGGCATTATATCATTATTGTAAATAATCATGTTACAATAGAAATAAAATATTGTTTAAACCAACCACGTTGCACCACTGCAAAGGCAGTCGCATCAATACCATAAGAGTCCGGCCACAACATTGCAATGGTATTACTAACATTACAGTACGCCCACAGACAAGCAGACAAGGAAGTTGTAGTGAGGTCAGAAACATTACTGACCGGGCAGTAGTGTTTACAGTATCACAGTAATGAAGACTTATAAGCGCTAACTTCTCTAATAATAAAATACGCCCCCCCCCCCCAATTAAATATGTAAACATACAATTACTTGTCAGATATTATTGTACTAAGTAAAGATTTCGGTCGATATTTTATTCCATCCTAAATTTTTAAAAGTTTGTTTTAAAGGGATGGAAGCCGCGGTAGCTGAGTGAGATAGGCCCTGGATTCGATCCCTGTTTTGATCGAAAAAGTCCTCGAGATTTCCAGCGTGGTTTCCCCTTGTCAGTTAAGCAGCAAGGAGGACCTGGCAAGGAACAGTGTATACGATAACCAAGGTCCCATGTACATACTGACGTGCAAGTTAAAGAACCCTTGAAAGTTGGAATTCCAAATAAGAGTAGGACGTACTGGCGCTGTCCGGGCAAAATTTCTCTCATTGCACACGGCATGGCTTGCGTCCGTCTTCATTAGCCTGGGATGTGCTGGTTGAGCGGTAAGGGCAATAGGCTCTCGGCCTATAATAGAGATACATATTATACCAATAATAGTCTCAAAATGACCGATGTGTTTTTTTGACACGACGTATCCTATTCTGTTTTTTATTCTTTTTACTTGTTTCAAAATTAAGTTATACAGTTCTTACGAGAGCGGGTGGAATATTGGATTTGGCAAAAGTTTATTGATTATTACGGACCATCTGCAAACGACAACAAGTTCGAGATTAACATCATGGATTAAAACAAATTCCTGTGGGAAAATACCATAGATAAGAACAAAAAAGAGATCTCAAGGAAAAGGCGATTAGGCAATCGTTTTTTACCTGATCTTATAATCGTTCACCCACCCTTTAACGAAGAAATGTATTAAGACACAGCTGTAAATGAAAACGAATTCTTTCCAAAAGATTGTTTTTTCCTTTCATAGATACAATAAAGGGGCTTTCTGTGCTATACATAGCATTTAAAATGATCTTAAATAATTTACAGCTTATGACACATAGTATATAATTCTTTATTCACTTGATCTGATATATAAGCTTGTTGTTAGAGGCTTAGAGGTGTCTGTGTATATTGTGTGTTGAAATATCTGTCTTGTCACTCGGCAAACCTCAGCAGATTCCAATACCCTACATCTAGCCTCGGTTTGCCGAGTGTCTGTCTTGTGTAGTGCGCCTCCTGTGCAGTTACTATTAAGCGAAACATAACTTAGACATGCGGGATACCATAGGTCTGCATCAAAATAAATATTTGCTGAATGTCAAACACTTTCATACTAAAATATTAATATTTTTAGAAGTCAGGAAATGTAAAATTGAGAAATTTAAGATCGCGGTGCTTGGGGTGGAAGGTGGTTGAAAAGGAATAAGTATGGCTGTCTTCATTGACCCGGTTGGTGTACAAAAATAGGACGTTAAACCCCCATTTCATTTTCTGCATCAACCAGGGTACCAAAGACGGGCATAAGAAATGCAGTGTGCTATATGGTTAAACTGGGATCTTTCACCAGACAATTAATTTTAAGTTTATTTCGAATATAGTTATTTTACTTTATATTAATTATTATTCGTTTGGGTGATACATGGTTTAGTTTTTTCTTCCAATGGAAGCGACTTTTTATGTGATGTTAACGAACAATAAACTATTGGTGAACTAGAAGAACGCTTACAACATTGTGGAATCGGATGTTAGCAAGCGGTTGCCATTCAAGATACGTCTACATTTCCAGTGAAAATCCTCCATCACATCCTGTCATTTTCGCAATTCTTCACGTCAAATTTGACAAAAATCATCAAAGAACTCAAGCCTCCGTCACATTTACAAGAAATTGCTGACGTTCGAAAGGACAGACCAACGGAGAATAAAGAAAATCGACGAGGCTCATGCTCTCATTGTCCTAGAGAGAGAGAGAGAGAGAGGGAGAGAGAGAGAAATGAGGTTTAACGTCCACTCGACACAAACCAGGTCATTTCGGGACTGTTTAATTTTATTTCAATAATTCGCTTGCGCGTAGGGGTCTTTAGCAGTGGGAGGAAAACGGAGGACCCGGAGAAAACCCACGAGGCTGGACAGGCGACCCTACTCCTTGTCACGTACAACCGGGGATTCGAAACCACGCCAGTTGACTCAATGACAACCATTCGCTAACCATTCGCCCCCCCACCCTCCTCATTGTCCTAATGCTTCACACTGAATTGGCCGTAAAAATTGTTCAAACTCATTGATAACGGACGATGCTGGATTTCTGACGTGGGTTCATCCCGATGTGTACTCAATGGTTCACACCAATGGCTGCAACAATGGCCGCAACATCGTCCCCGCAACGATAACACATTCATGAAGCTGGTCAAACAATGTACACACATTGAAAGTTTCAGCGGTACATAAAACTGACAAACTTTAAATTGGGTTGAAAAGAATGTAATTCCAGCACCTTAGATACAACAGGTATTTAAAAAGACTATAAAAGATATGCAACTTAAAATTCACAATTTATCATTCTGTAGTATAGAGTTTAAAAATTGATATTTTATAAACATATATATATAATAATGTTTTATAAACAATAATATAATAATGTAACTTCACTAACTACTTATTTTAACAAAACAAAAACAATATACAATTCATTCCTATAAATAATTATATTTATAAAAACATACATTGAATAATCATTATCTAAATAAACATATCTATACCATCACAAAGATCTGAGCAGATTTGAGTTTTAAGCAAAATACATCAAGTATTTCTCAGTGTCAAACCCCTTAAATGAATTATCACACTCATCAAGGTTTAAAAAAGAATTGGTAAAACATTTTCTCCAGAGTAAGACACCCGTTCTTGAGCAGGACAATACACTTCCGGTACAACAAAACGGGTCTGATAATCCAAGAAAGTAATGTGTAGGCCACCCAATATGATTTTCTGTTCTTCAGGTTTTTGATAAATAAATAGCCACTTAAATCAAATTAAAGATTTTTTGTTTAAAATTTCGGAACTATACTCAAAGCCATTAAAAACGCAATGCCTAATTCGTGAAATATTTCTGGTAAACGTTTTCTTGGGCTTTCCTATCTTATGGCACATATGTGAAACTTGTGATGGGTCTCTTTTTGTGGAGTTCTAGGTTTGAACCCAATATCAGTTCATACAAACGCAACACTTCACTTGTCTTTTTTCATGATTTTAAGCAGTCCCATGTCACACGTTTTGCACGTGCATTCCCTGCCCTCTGGTCCTTTAAATACAGATCAAAATTTCAACATTCATCACTTCGGAAAAATGCCACGACTTACACAAGAAAACAGGAACAGAGCTATTGGCATGCTGGATTGGGGTCCTTTATAGGTAGCCGGCACCAGACACTTTAATGTCCACCCATCGACCATTGTTCGCCTGAGACAACGCTTCCACGCCACAGGAAGAGTTGCCGATCGACCCCGACCTGGAGCGCCACCTGTAACAACCGCTGCTCAAGATCACCACATCTGATTACAGCATCTGCGCAACAGGTTCCAGTCAGCTACTGCTACTGCGAGGGGAACTGTTGGAACACGACAACGTCAGATCAGTCCTCAAACAGTCCGAAGGCGCCTGGCTGCTCATGGGTTACGCTGCCGTTGACCTTACCAAGGTCAAATCCTTTTGCATCGTCATCGACTTGCCAGACAGCAATGGGCCGCAAATCAGGGGTATCTGCACAACACATCAGGGCGAAATGTCATATTCTCGGATGAATCCCGATTCAACCTCATGTCCGTGCTATGTCTCCTGACATGAACCCGATCGAATACCTTAGGGATGAACTTGGCGACGGGTTCAGACTCAAGCCGTGCCACAGTGTTGCAGAGTTGGTACAGGCACTCCAAAATCATTGGAACAATCCCACAGCGTGTAGTGAGACATCTGTGCCAGTCCATGCCAAGGCGACTTCAGGCATGTGTAAGAGCTCAGGGTGGACATACCCGATATTGACTTCAGCGGACCCCTGCTTTGTTTCATGGTTCTCTGATGTTTCGTTTTTTTGCATTTGTAGTGAATTCTTTCATGAAATTATCCACAAATGCTTGTTATCTCGATTTTGTCAATTGTTATGTACAATTGTTAAAAATTGTTGCAGTAAATAAACTTTGAATTTGGCATTGCGTTTTTAATGGCTTTGAGGACAAAAGACTTTGATCAGCGCAACAAAGTACTTCTGGTTTTTAAATAAGTATTTTTCCAAAAGAAATAAGAAGAAAAACATATGTAGTAACATAAATAAAATAACTGAAAGGTTTAGGTAGATTTCTCTCAGTTGTTCATTAACAATGCCAGTCAGACACTGACTGGCAAAACTGACTCAAATGACAGAATGGAATGGAATGATGCTGAACATCTCTTCAACACAATATTATTTCAGTCATTTTGAGACTAACATTAAGTAATTTAATTTCATTTCAATGCTTTGTGTGTAATATAAGGGTTGGGTGTGGGAATCATACTCGTACTGCAGCAGTTTTGTCTACTCTTCTTTTACATTTAAGCCACAATGTACAAGAGTGGTCCATGGTATTACATCGCACAAAGATTTGAACCTAGCAGCACCCTCAAATGACAGCCCTGGGCACAATCATCAG